AACAGCCCAATTACATAATGCCTACGCATATCTCCGACAATAGTCCTTTGCCGCAAAGACAATTGCAAGAATCATTGCAGAGACTCGCGGTTCGCCGCTTTGACGCGCATCATTGCCTCTTGACGCAAGCAAAGTATAATTGTCATAGTCGAAAATTACCGTGCAAATTTTAATGTTTGCACAAGACTCTTTGAAATATGAAATTAAATTTATTCAAGCGAGCTATGATTGATCATCATATGAACAAATCAAATACACATTGTAAGAAAGGCGCAATTGTGCAAACAGTCTGCTTGCGGATGAAAGATTCGCCGTTTCGCGAATTAGGTAATTTAGATAAATCGGTTTTCAAATTATGAATAAATTAGAATTGAAGCTCTTTGAATGTTTGAACAAAAGATTAATTTATACGGATTTTGAATTTGCATATGAATAAGGAGTGTTATATTTCAATATGAAGCCGCACAGAACAAATACTCGAGAAAAAAAGAAATATTTTTGATGAAATGTAAATGTAAAAAATATGAAAGAAGATCTCATATTTTTCAGCATATTCTAAATGGATATATGTTCAAATTTTGAAAATTTATAAAATATTATAGTTTTACATAAATGCATATTCTTATGTTTCACATCATATGTGTGCAAAGATTCTTGCACTTGAATATTTTAACTTCCTGATATTATGAATTTACCAGAAAATCCGAGATGTCATTTATAGGTGTTCGCGACGTTTCAAGTCATTTTGAATTTTCAAACAATTTCTCGTAGGGCAAGTTATGGTAATCATCCAAAAATCGAAATGTTTCATATTTCTTTACGTTTCAAAGGTTTCTGGCATACCTCATTATTAGAAAATATGGATGTATGTGAGAGTATATGAGAGTGTATATGTGTGTGTGAATGCGTATGTATGGATACAAATATTCATTCACGTTTTCGGGACCACTGATCAACTGATTTGAATTATTCAAAAAGCATACGATTCATATTGATGGGGAGACCTGCCGATTAGTTTTTGACAAAAACAGGTCTAGCCGTTTTGGAGCAAAAAGTGAAGAAAATGGCAATTAAGAGAACGCAGCATCCGATTTGAATGATTCACATGTATTAACGTAATGAATAAATGATTACATTTTTGTAAAGGCAGGTTCAGAGGTTTCGGAGATCCAGAAAAAATAGTTTTAAACAATGTTATTTGTGAGTCAAAAATCAGTTATTTTCGATAGTACCAGATCAACCAACATGAATAGGAATTAAAAACTAATAAGATTCAAAATCGAAAAAAAAAATCAAAAATTATCAAAAAATGTTTCTTTTAAAAAAAGTTATAGGATATATAATTTAATATTTGTCCATGAAAAGCATTTCTACGTAGAGTATTAACGCAATTACTTACAATGCAAAGGCAAAGCTCTGATAAGGTTTTCTAATTAACTCTATGCAAATAATAGCTTTTCATAGAAGTTATAGCTCAGCAATATATTTTTGCATCAATCAAGTGTACCTACAATCATTTTATCTTGACGCAAGTCACATTATTATGTCTTTTATAGCATATTCAGTGAAATGTTTTATGCATAGATTTTCCTCGGGGGCTCTATACTTAGCATGTTTCTATTTCTATAAATAAAATCGTTGGACTGGTGGAGTTGATACTAGAATATGTACAATGGCAATACCATTAGAGGACTCTAAAAATCTCTGACGTAATTACAATACTAATCTAGGTAGGTAAATAATAGCCGCAAGTTGTTAGATGCATGTACGTTTGTGTGGGACCGTTTGATATGGAAATTTGTTTCAAGGTCATTTTTGGAGAACTAAATATAGTTTATAAAAATATTCTTGGAACAATAAACATTTACTTTTTATAATGTTTTGGTTGTCTAGAACTATATAAAGTAGACAGTAATGCGAGCGAATTCTACAGTCAATATTGAAGAGAGTAATAGAAAGATATTGGATATCAGTTATTGATTACAGGATTAACTAAAATACATTTAAAAAAACTAGATTTTAATATTCTATATTTTTAAGAAGCTATAGTATGGGGGTATTCTGGCCTAGAAACATGAATTTTATTCAATTTTTGAATGGACGTAAAAAGGCAAATAATATTTTTGCTTCATTTGTTTTTACAGGTTATTAAGTTTAAGTTTTGAGAATCTAGAAAAAAAAATAAAAATCATAAATAGTCATGAAAGATCATTTCTAGGAGGTGTTGAAGTGGTATGTCTCAAAAAATTGGCATCTGACCATACACATATTTCAGCCCTCCAAATAATCTGTAGAAATATACCAATGTTAACTATGTTCTAAATATATATGAATTTAGAAATATGAACAAACAACGCTCTTTTTTGCACTAATTTATTAAATAATAATTTTACAAACGTTTCGAGACTAGGTTTGTCTCATCATTAGTGTGTTATAATTTAAAATCTATGGAAAATTATTTAAAAATATGAAAACCTAAATTATTATTATGTGTTATCCGTTACAAGTCGTTCATTATATTGCCCCACCAACAATCTCCGGAGTCTGAATTTTCTTTGTTGAATGAACGACTTGTAACGGATAACACATAATGCTAATTTAGGTTTCCATATTTTAGATTTTAAATTATAACACACTGATGATGAGACAAACCTAGTCTCGAAACGTTTGAAAATTTATTATTTAATAAATTAGTGCAAAAAAGAGTGTTTGTTCATATTTCTAAATTAATATCTATCTATTCACTCAGATTACATATATATATATATATATATATATATATATATATATATATATACATATGATGTATGAACTACGGACAAGTTGAAAAAATGTTTTTGTTACAAAATGGCTACTCTTTGCTAATAATTTTTTGTTACAATTTAATTGGATATTCTCGATTTTTTTAAATAGAATAGAAAAATGCGTGTCGCAGAGGAAGGAAACAGAGGAGGATTTTCGTGTTCAAAAAGCTATCTCTAAAAGCAAACTAAATTTTGAATAAACTTTGCTAATATCAAAAAAAAAATAGTTTTATCAAAAATTCCTGACCAGAATACTTCCTGAAAGAACATCATATACAATATACACCAAAAAAATTCGTAAAATTTTCAATAATTTTGAAAATCATTGTTATTCTAACTACCTAAACTCATATATAGGTTTATGATATTTGTATAAATTATTCGAAATTACTTTTCTCGCAACTTAACTTATGCGATGACTATTCTAATGATATGTTTAGAAAACTTTTTCGTCTGTGTATGTTTACTCTTAAATAATTTGGCTAGCACATCAATGGATCGTGTTCATTGCAAAAAGAAGCTTTATTACGAAGTGAGATTGCTCATAAATTTTTGCAAAGCTCATATACAAACTTTGATGAGTCTTGATTGATATTTATTGCTCGGGCAACTTTTTGTTCCTGATTACCTACATGCACTGTTCATGATAAATTTGGAAGATATATAATATTAGAATTACTGCGTAGGCGTTAACGTGCAATTTATGCCAAGAGAGTAATTAGAAGTGTAATATATTTCTGACTGGCGAATTAGATGATTTAAATGGTTTTTGATGTTTGCATATAATAAGAAAATTTCAACAATTTAGAATAAGTTGAACTTCAATTACAACGTTTGAATTTCAGTAAATGGTATACTGATAACAAAAGATTATCCGTAACATAAGAAATTTTGAAACAATTGGTTTCATGGTTATGGTGGTTATTTTTCAAAACGGAGCAAAACTGAAAGTCGCAAAATATTAACAAATAACCTAATGCATTACTATGTACCATTTATTTTAATCAATTGAATTTATTTTTAAAATGTATTTTAAAAGATTTTATTGATCCATTACAGATGCCTAAAAATCATACCTCATGTGTCACGTCCTATTGAATAATTTATATTTTATTCAAGATATTTACTTCTCGATTTTTCTTCTTTTTTTTCAAGGAATGTGACAAAGAATTCCCAATAAGCATTTCAGTTGCCTCAAGATACTGCAAAAATAAGCAATAAATGTCTTTCACAAAACATATATTTTCTTACAATAAATATTTCATACTGCCTGTCTTTCTGATAACATTTCCTGAAAGCATCTGGGACGCGAACATAATGGGATTCTAGTAATAAGATATTTATAAGAATTGGGCGTAAAATACGGAATATAAGAATCGACATCGATACACTGGATAATCGAAATATATTGAATTGGAAATCTTGGAACATTTTTTTCACTTTGCTCCAAAACAAATAAGGTTACCTCCAAATTAGTTCACTGCAGTTGTTATAAATTGCGGATTGTGTATTTGTGGCTTCATTTATTTTAATGGAGCAATCAAATATGACAACTAGTCATAATGAAGGAACTAACATGTGTCACTTTGCAATTTTGCAGATGTTTTACAAACATCTACGCTCGTGTTTCGGTTGCCAAATGAAAAGTTAACCACCGACCGCGGTTCGTACTAAAAATACCGCAAGCTGTGTTTATTATATTGAGAGAACTATGGTGAATTGATACAATGATGTTTAATAAAATAAACTATGCCAAATGGACAATATTATGCTTTTTTATTTTTAGTTATTTAAGTGTTTATAGCAAATTGTTATAAAGTTTCTCCGTTGGCAACCCCGCAGGGGCATTGGAATGCTTTGGTCACAAGATATTGGTAACTTTAGCATCATGACTTTTTGATAAAATATTTTAATGACTTCAGTTTATGAGAAAATACAAGTAGAAAATTACCATTAGAAAAATGGTTCAATAGAAACTGAGAAAACTGAGCGATTCCACAGTCATTATTACCCAAGTGTATCATGATCTGTATAATCATGAGTACCTACATTCCCACATTTATTGAATATATCATAATCCGATTAAATACATGTATGTATATTTATTTGTATTTGTCTTATGAATACCTCCAATAATTTTCCTCAAACGTTCCATGTCCATCAAAAGAATAATGTTTTTTCATTATTTCTAGGTCATGGAAACGAAAAATATGATCTACATAGTGTCTGAATACGCAAGCCAAGGTGAAATATTCGGTAAGAAAAAAAATACTTTAAGTCATTAAATATAAAAATTTGAGATCATAATTTTTTTCAAACATATAGTAAAATATGCAACAGTATGAAAAGCAATGTGAATAAAAAGAAAGGTTCTAGAATCATTGCCTCATAAATTGTTTTTATTGACGTTTTTGTTCCTTCAACACGTAGAAGACAAAATTTGTTAAATTTAAAATAATAAAGAAAATTAAAACATATCGTTCCCATACTATATTCTACATTTTTATACTATATGGTTTCAACAAAATTTTATTTTGCATTGTATTTCAACACAATATTTCTTCAAGATATAATGTGTTATTGCTATTTATCAAAAAGTATTATAAATCACTGCATTTTGCTTGACATTATTATAATAGAAGTCATTAAAATCCACAATAGATCCAATAAATATAAAAGAAAATCCATAACTTGCCGTGAATATTTAACCTCTGTTTTACGGTCAATAAAATATTTAACCAGAAAATCATATGATTAATTCTTAGTCACGTTTTAGCAATATATAGTTTTTTAAATTTTGTAATGGATGTATATTATAATTAGAAAAAAATACTTATAATGCACAATATATAAAAGTTTTTGGCTCCACAAACTGAATCAAATTAAAAAGATCTACTCTATTCTATATCATACTCAATTAATAAATAAATATAATTAAAAAAAATGAAATACAGAGGTAAAAAAATAAAGAATACCTTTTTTATTAAAAATGCAACAATAATTTCATAATTTGACTACTGATTTTGTAAAATAATAATGCCATTGATTTCATTCCAAAAAGCTTGATCACAATGATAATCAGTGCAATATCTTTAATTGTAACAAATCTTGCATTTTGCATTAAATATTGAATTTTTTTATACATCAATCATAACGTTAGACAATTTCTGATCCTGACTTATGCCTCATAATCATAAAATATTCATTCATTTATTTTGATATCTTAAAGCTCAGCTTTTTATTATGATTTAACGATGACATTCAAGAATTTATCCTTTAACATAATGTAGAAATTGCTCAGTGTCATACTAACCGGATATTAAATTTTGTCCTTTTATGCATAATTCAGACGTTTTACTTTTGAAAATCGAAATATGAAGTACTTTCGATTAATAACATCCCAAGAATAAAATATTTATTTAAAACCAAAAATCATAAGAGAAAGTGGAATATTTTATGTATATCACATTTGTTAATATTTTGCATTTTAACACTTGAGATATTAAATGAACTTCAGTATTAACTATAAATGTTAATACACGTAATTTTGTTTAAATATACAAAATTTAATTATAAAAATGATGTTTAAAAAATACTACAATATATAGTAACATTAATCCTAGATTTTTATCTCTATTTTTCAATATTGATTTTGTTAATAAAACTTTAGCAATTATGAGTACTTTTAGAAATATATTTTGGCAATATTATTGTTATTGGTGCTTTGCTAGAAAGCAAGCCCATGGTAAAATCAGCTATTGGATATGATCAAATAATGTTAATCTTCATGTAATTTAAAAAAAAAAATATTGTAAAGTTGTTTCATACCTTATGAGTATCCACTCATACATTGGAATGGCACTAGGTAGATATTTAATGCATAAAAAATTAAAATCTATATTATAAAAATTAAGATGTTATTAATCAAGATTACCAAAAATAAATGAAGAAAAAAAGTTTATATATTTGCTTAGAATTATATAATATTCCACTCTCTACAATTCTAATAATTTAGAGTGATGAATTCCATTTATTATCAAATACGTCATAAGCGATGGAATTATTTTAACATTATTTGTCCGGAATTTTATTACTGTAGATGTAAAATTTTAATTCTACGATGACGTTATAAACTTATGCCAAATGTGCAAATTCTAATAAAATTTTAAAATTTGTGACCTCACAGATTACATCGCTCGTTATGGTCGAATGCCCGAGCACACGGCGAGGAGTAAATTTCTGCAAATTCTGTCAGCTGTCGAATACTGCCACGCCAGGAGAGTCGTCCACAGAGATCTGAAGGTGACCTAATTCAATTATTTTATAACATTCTAGACTAGAAATTAATTTCATAGATATAATAACTGAAATACTTCAAAACATTGAACTTTTGCTCTCACATCGCCCCTATTCGACATCCCCTCGACATTAAAAAAAAAAGAAGTTTTGTATTTATTGAAGCGATTGTTTTTAAAAAAGTTCCATTCGACTTTATTAAGTATGCTATGCTAATACTAGACATTAATCATTTAAAATATTTTATATACAATATAATATTTTATATACTATGTTCAGACGCATTTTCGTTTTATTATATTGGCCATGAATGTGACAATCTTCATGGCATTAAGCTTTTACACGGGATGGTTGCTACCCCTGGTAGCCTGGTAACTGGGGGTAGCGGAGAGTTTTGATGGAACTAATTGGACACTTCTAAAAGTAAAGTCCGCGAAACAACATGTATAGTAAGTGTTTATTACAGTCCACAGCTACAAGAGTTAAATTATAACCCAACAACCTGAGTTATCGAAGAAGAGTTTTAATAAATTTTATAACTACGTGTACAAACACTATCCTTAAATTTTTAGCAGTAGTTCAACGTATATTGCATGTATGCTACTACTAATTTTATTTATTGCTTATATTTTTTTATGTTTTTGAATCTTAGATAGAGTGGTATCCCGCCTTAGGAGCTTAATTCGCTCGCATGTCGAATTGTTCGTATCTCGAAGAAATTTTTTTCATACAAATACATTGAAATGCTGGTAATTCGTTCCAGCACAGTAATAAAACTAAATGAAACATTTATTGCTAAAATCAAATACATATTCTGCAAAAACATAGCAAATTACTAAATAGAAAATGACTAAATATTCATTATACTATTTTTTGAGTTTAAAAAAACTATCCAATGCTATTTTTTTCTTCAACTCGTTATTGTATTTCAAAAGTGAATTAGATCTTTGACGGCTCGTATCTCGAAGAAGACGCATAACGAGTCGCTCGTAAGGCGGGATACCACTGTACATCAAAATGCACATATAATTTCAAATTGGATTAACAATTTAAATAATTTTTAAATCGATACACTTATTAATGTGATTGTCTTCTAAAAATTTATTTGTGAATTCGAAAAAAATTTTAAGGCAAAAAAATTTAGGTTCATGATGCACAACCTCAGGAAGTATTAGGAACTACTCTAAATTAGTTTTTTTTTATTAATTTATTTCTACAAAATATTAATCTCCTTTTCTGATTTTTTTCTAAATTTACAAGGTCCAATGAACAACTGAAATAATTAAAAGATAATTTGGTTTTTTACTAGTAGTAGAATAATTGCAGAGCATTAATAATTATTTTCAAGTTTTGATTTGAACGATTTTCTGTATCCGAACAAAATTTTCATTGTTTTTCTAAGATTTGTTTGAAAATTAGTTAATATGTTAAAAAGCAATAATCCTAATTTGCAATTAAAATTAATTATTAATAATATAATTAATAGTCGATTTGGTTTTTTACTATTAGTAAAGTATCCATAATTGCAGAGCATCAATGATGATTTTTGAATTCTGATTTTAATGATTTTCAGTATTACAACAAGGTTTTTTTGTTTTTTTTTTAATTATAAGATTTATTTGGAAATTAAGTAATAAGTTAGTGTCAATAATCCTAATTTGCAATTAAAACTGGTTAATAATCGTGAATTAAAAGTTGATCTGAATTTTACTATTAGTAGAATATATATAATTGCAGATCCTCAATGTTGATTTCTCAATTTTCATTTTAACGATTTTCAGTATTACAACAAAGTGTTTTAATATTTTTTTAATTATAAAATTTGAAAATTAAGTAATAAGTTAGCGCCAATAATCGTAACTTCTAATTAAAACTTGAATTTTTCGACATTCTAGAAGAAACAAAAATTGATGTTCAAAACTTACAAAAAGTAAAGGATTTAAAAAAATATGATAAAGAGAAGGAAATATAATAAATATTCTAGAGAGTCAACGTTAATAATGTGTAATAAAGTTTGTTTTTAAATGTGAATACAAAATAGTTTGAAATATTGCATTATTGATAAAAAAACAGCAGTTCTTGCTTCGGCAGAACATATACTAAAATTGGAACGATATAGAAAAGATTAGCATAAAAAACAGCAGCTGTAAACTAAAGAAAAGTCTATATTCTGTAAGTCTATATATATAATTCTCAAAGTCTATAGGTGTATTTCTCATTTCTAAATTAGTTTCAATTATTCTAAAAATATAATTATCGTTGAATCTGAGGTAATATTCGATTTCAAAATTTACTAGATAATAAAACGTATATTTTTACTTTTTTAATCAAAATTCGCAGTTGTAGTGTGCTTTTTGAGCCCATATGTTTCACCTTAAAATATTTCAAATTAATAGATAAGGTCTTAGAAGATCAATATATCAATAAAGTGCCGCAATTTAAAAAGCGAAAATTATAAAAAATAGTTAATTATTAAAATTGTTAATCCAATTTGAAAGTGAGTATTAAAATCTAATTACAGTCCACAAATGATAAGGAATATAAGCAAAAACTGAATTAAGTAGTGGTAGTCTTGCACCATTTTGTAATGATTCATTTATCCCAAACTTAAATTATCACGAATAAAATAATGGAAAGATCAAGTTGACAATAAATGTGTTAATTCCTAAAGGCTGAGAATCTGCTACTGGATGCCAACATGAACATCAAGATAGCCGACTTCGGCTTTTCCAATTACTACACCCAAGGCGAACTCTTGGCAACGTGGTGCGGCAGTCCGCCTTATGCCGCCCCAGAGGTTTTCGAAGGAAAGAAGTACACGGGCCCAGAAATCGATATCTGGGTGAGTCAAACATCGATTATTGTAATCTATTCTTTTATATTCCATACAGTCGGAAACATAAAATCTGAAATATGTATTAATATTTCCATAAAAGTATTGTGTTCGGAGCAGGTGCTATAGTTATATCACGAGGAGATGGAAATCTGACATTTAGAGGGAAAAGTTCTAGTATTCTTGCCAATTTATATCGTTATTATGAGTAATGAAATTTCTCTATTCTAAATTAATATTAATTAGTGTTAAATAATTCTAAATGAAGTTATTTTAATTTTTCATTGCTTTAAGGGGATATTCTAGTTTAGAGCGATGAATTTTAGGTCATTTTTAAAGTGTCGTAAAAGAAAGCAATGAATGTTTCTTCTATCCATTTGTTTACCACTTGTTTATTAATATTATTAAAATACAAAACAAAAATTAAAAAATAAAAAAGTTGAAAATTGTAAAAACTGGCAGCTGATGAAGTGGGTGTTCTCAAAAAATTGGCACCTCAGTCTTGACATGATTTCAGCCCTCCTAGCCATCGGATATGCAAAAACTAAAAATATTATTAATATACAATGATGTCAATGAATTAGAGATTAGTAAAAAAATTTTTTTTTACAAATTGGCGACTGTTTTAAAAAAAGTGTTTTTTTACTGTTCTTTGAGTTTCTCGAATTTTTTAAAAATAGTGAAAATTGGAATTTGGGGATAATCCCAATTCGGGCTATAGATAGGTTCATAAACAAGACTCTCTGAACATTTCAAGTGAATCGGTCTATTAAAACTCGAGGAATCGTGTCAACAGTACTGAAAAAGCCTGTTCTGAGGAAAACGCATTTAAAGTTTTGCGTGAAGCCAAACCAGTATGGAGTCCGAGTCAGTAAAATGCCTATATCTCCGAAAATAATTCAAATTTTCAAAAACCTTCACGTACCCATATTTTTAGATAGTTAAACTTTGAAAATATAAAATAAAAAAATCGATTTTTTTCAATTTCTACTAGAATACCCGCTTAATAACTTTTTAATAAGTAATAATACTCATAGGGGACATCCATTAATCGCGTGATCGATTTTAAAGATTTTTGGACTCTTTCGCCTCTCTTGGTGAAACGTAGTGATATTTAAAATTGCCCCCTCTCCCCCACCAACATCTCGTTTTATTTCAGCATCTATGACAAACAGTACATTATTTCGATGTTTTTTTAAAGAAAATTATATTATTTCATCCAAATCCAGGTGAAAAAAATTAACTAGTGATAACTTACTGAACCCTACACGCTCTTACGTAATAATTTTTAATAATTTGTTAAACCACATTTTAGGCCTAACGGAATTAATGGCCTCATACACACACACTCATACACTTTTTTCAATTCTATTGTCAAACGATTCAGAATGACTTGAAACGTCGAGAAAGTATAAATTTAACAGATTGGATTTTCTGGCGAAAACAATCTTTTCTGAAAGTTAATTATATATATTTTATAAATCTTAAAAAAATTAAAAATAAAATTATAATTATGTCCATCATTTGAACCTTAGAAAATACAAGTATTGAATTTTCCACTCGAAAATTGCGGAATTAATGCGTATTTTACTGCCGGCGGCATCCGAGTGGAAAGGGTTAAACTAGAAATGTCCCACTTGGTGTAAAACTTCATACCAATTCAATTGCCCTTATTGTTTGTTCAGTGTATGTTGGTGCACTATGTCCTGAAATTAATTACAAATAAAATTAGTGGGGTGTATGGCATCGTGCCTTAAGGCAAATTGCTGGAACTTTCCGTACCCTAACGAAAGAATACTGAATGTTTTCAAATATGTAGATTATTATAAATATTGTAACATTGTTTAATATTTATAAGAATTATATAAACTGAATTGCAAAGTAGAAATTATTTGTTTAAAGTATATTAGAACTATAGTCAGAATTAAAAATAAAATCTGAATTATTTTCGATATACAAAAATTTTTTTTTTGAAAAAAAAAAGTTAAAACAAAAAAAAAATTTATTTCCAAAATCAATTATATTGTTAAGACAAGCAGAAAGTTTTTTGAATCATTTAAATCGGACGCTTAGTTCTCTCAAAAACTGCCATTTTTTATACATTTCGCTCCGTATCTTCGAAATGACTGGGCCTGCCTTTGCCAAAAACTAATAAACACTTCTCCCAATCATTACTAATTGAATGTTTTTTTAGATCATTTAAACCGGATGCTCAGTTCTCTCAAAACCTCAATTTCTATTTTCTGCACTCTTTGCTTCGTATCTCCATAACGGCTAGACCTGCCTTTGCCAAAAACTAATCAGCACATCTCTCTATCAATAGGAATCGAATGTTTTTTGAACCATTTAAATCGGTTGCTCCGTGCGCCCGAAAGCGTGACCGAAAAATTGTATCCATACATACACACACATCCATTTTTTCTGAGGTATGCCAAAATGTTCAGAAACCTTCAAAACATAGAGAAATGTAAAAAATTTCAATTTCGATTTTCGGCCCCTTACAATAACTTACCCTACAGGAAGTTAAAAATGATTTATTACATTATAGATAGATAGATAATTTGTGACGTGCGAATAACAGCGACCCATAGTACTTATTTCTATAAAGTTGGCGAGTCATCAATATTGTTGTGATGAATAAAGATGTAGTATTTGATAAAATGACGCTAACCCAATACCCATTTAACAGCGGTTTCTACAATTCAACAATAAAATGATGATCTATTTATATTTTTTTCTATATTTCCAGAGTCTCGGCGTTGTTCTGTACGTGCTGGTATGTGGAGCCCTCCCGTTCGACGGCTCCACATTGCAAACATTGAGGGATCGGGTACTGAGCGGAAGGTTTCGCATACCTTACTTCATGTCTTCAGGTAAGACATTATTATTATTAGAACGAGATATTTCTCGAAATATTATTTTAATCGAATGTAAACAACGGCAATGAAACTTGGGGAAGAATGTGAAGGATATCGACAAATTCTTATGCTTTTTATACGAAATAAAGGAGCCAATACTCCGGTAAAATACAAACGTTAAGGTAAAGCTGTCTTATTGGTCCATCTTTGTATAAATTGGTAGTAGGAACAGTCAAAATGCTATGAGTATGCTGTGCGATCTTAGGCGTTTTACACATAAACCCTAACTTCACGTAACTGTTATCAATGGGACATCAGAAAGATGCACTTATGATAAAACTGTTATGTAATATTTGTGCGTTTCGTAGATTAGATTTTATGTGTGACCCATATCATAGTGTTACCATTGCATTTCAATTTTATTGGAGAATTGGCTCCAACTTCTTCGGAGTTAGGAGTGTTATGGTAACGCTATGATATGACTCACACATAAAATCTAACCTACAAAATGCAACGTTGTATTCATTCGTCTATGGGGCTGAGTCGGCTTTTAGATAAATTTGCAAGCGAAAAGTATAAATGTGAAATATATTTTATCTATAGTAAATCATACCATAAGAAGTCCAACTTAGTGTTGTGTAATAAAATCAATGAATATTTTATAAATTACAAAATATTATTTTATTATTTTGTTGAATAAATATTTATGCTTTATGATTTTATGATTTACTAATTAACCGTCAGCTAACTTGAAAATACGTCAAAGTGTAATCTGAAATAATTTTGTTTACTCATCGACTCAATTTCCATCATCAGGCTCTTATGCATTTACTCAATTTAATCAATCATTTAATATCAACTGCCAAAACTCATCTTCGATTTCCGAATCTAAACTTTGCAACTTTTGATAGGTCTCTATATTTAATTGTTATTTCGTGTTTTCATAATAAAACAGTAATTTATGGCTGATGTGAAGTATTTTATTCTCCATATTTGAATTTATGCTTTTCAAGTTTTGAAATATGTAATAATTAGGCGAAGTAAATGGGTATAAAAGAACTATTGCCCACGGAAATGATATAACCTTTTAGTATCAACAAAATTATTTCTAGAAACGATCTTGATGTATTTTAGATTCTTTAACAATGAATTCTACGAAGGGGACGACCATTAATCACATGAACGATTTTTTAAGGATTTTTGAACTACCCCTTCCCCCCACCAAACATAAAGTGCATTTTTAGTTACGAGAAACAATTGTAAATTTTTTGATATTTTTTGAAAATGTTTGGAATTTTAACAAAAATCAGGTAAAAAATAAGTACACGTGATATCTTACTATACCGCTCCCTCCCCCATGTGATATTTTGTGATTTTTTGTCAACCCTTTCCCTCTCCCTAAAAACCTTACGTGATTAATGGACGCCCTCTAATAGCAATTATTAGAGTTTAATTCGTAAAGCACAAATGCAATTTGAGTACCATATCCCATATAATTACAAAATACAGTTTTTCTTCTAATTACTATAGCATATTCCAAATTACTCCAAATTAAGGATGGTCCATGGTACAACGGTTAAGTGTACTGCTTTGTGCGGACATGGTCGTGAATTCTAACTTGATATTATGCAGCAGTGATGTAAATTTTTACTTAAAAATATGTTACCAATTGAAATTAGCCCATTTTGGCCACTTTTCTGAATAGTGTTGGAGTTTACAGTACTACCCATTATTTTATTTTTATACTCCAAATTACTAAAGTATAAAAATACTCTAAATCTGACATGTCTCAACAAACTGTGTTATTTCCAGCAATGCTAAAAAACTCCTACCTCCTATCTCCTACATTGACTTTAAAAAAATTTCTATCGAACGAAAATGTAATCCGATTTAAGTTTACCAAAAGGTATAGAAAAAAGTAATATCTCTGCACAAATCGGCATGGTATAGCCTTGCGCCAGTTTCGCTGATAAGGCGATCGCCATATCGTCACGTCCCTGTGCAATGTAAATAAACAAACATTAATCCCAGAACTGAAATCAAACTGAATGCAAGCATCATATAGGGGAGATCGGGGTTCATCGTCTTAAAGAATTATGCCTATTCTTCTTACTAGACAAATGCAAAGTCTGAATCCGTAAAGTATCTTGGAATTCATCTAGATAGGCGATTGACTTGGAGAACACATATGAAATATAAAATTCAACAAATTAGATTGAAATCCCAAGAGCTTAACTGGCTTATTGGGAGAAAGTCAAAATTGTCTATGGAAAACAAAATACTTATTTATAAGACAATACTCAAACCGATCTGGACATATGGAGCCGAAATATGGGGCAGCGCTTTGAAATCTAACATTGCAATGATTCAAAGAATTTAGTCAAAAACAATTAGGACAATAACAGACGCTCCTTGGTATGTCTCAAATTATATAATTCATAATGATTTCCAAGTTCTATTTGTTCAAGATGTTATTAATAACAGAAAAAACACTTGTTAAAATTAGAGTTTTACTCGAACCATTTAGTTACATCTTTGCTCAATGCACCGCCAATGAGAAGACTCAAACGAAAATCGCCCACTAATATAACTTAGCACTTATTTGTAAATCTCTCGATGGAAAAACTATTCCACATAATTTTTCATATTGTATATTTGTTTTGTATTTGTATAGATGCATATGTGTATGTAATTTTATGTAGTGTATGTTTTTTTGTAAAACTTAGCACAATAGCTTATAGAAATTTATAATTTTTGATTGCTATTAATGAATATATATATAAAAAATGCCTATTCTTCGGGCTCCTTTGGATAGCTTTTTTAATAAAACTAATTAGATGTCAACCTAAGATAATTGCTATGCAATATTTTTGTGGGTCATTAATCCAACCTGCAAAACATGTGACTTCCTACTTTAAGAAACTATTGATTGTTCGATTATGAACAAACATTGAATGAAGGCAATAAAATCTTTGGGATATTTTTGAAATTTGAGAAATTTGAATTTTTCTTGTATGATATCTGTCTTCTTGGACATGGCTCCGAGGTAAAAACCCCTGTGCTTAGCAATCAGTGGTTTCGGATTATATACCCACTTTGGTCAGCTTGATATCAATGCACAAAGGCTGACTCTGAAAATAAAAAATAAATGTGTCATTTATCCCCCGTCTCCCCTTTTCCGCGAATATCAATAAACGTCGTTTTCTTTGGCATCGGCGTCATGGAGAGTTATCGAATTCTCACTGCGACGTTATTTTAAATTATTAGACGACAATTGCCGAGTTTGAGAATTCTTTAGAATCAAGTCATTGTTTTTTGAAGAGCAAGTACCTACTTGCTGATATGCCACGAGTAAATAGAGACGGTCTATGTATTATTTTATGTGAGGTGATCTATTGTTCTCAAAGTAGGTCAATTTCGTTAAATATCAATAGAGTAGAAATTTTTTTCACACTATTTGTTTTAATGATGCTAGTAAAATTGTAATGACGTCTGTATAAATGATTGGTAGATTTCCATTAGGGTCTGATCTTTGCAGATGATTCTACTTTGTTGGTTGCAAGTTGGTTGCTAGCTAAATTGAAAAAATAGATACATTTCGTGAATATGGATTTAAAACAGTCATATTGGGCTCGGTAGTCCAGGGAGTGAAATAGAAAAAAAAATTGAAAGGTTCCATTTGTTTTCAAGAGAAAAGGATATAACTGATGCTTGATATCTGGATGTATCTATCGCAGGAATTGAACCCACAATCTTGTGGTTGTAAGGTTGTATGTTGCAGGCTATATTAACCATTTGAGCCACGCATTCACCAATTGTAACACAAATATCAAAACATGAAATTCTAGTGGAATCGTTTGATGTTTTTATCATTGACGAATTAGGTATCGATTGTATTTTCACAGTATATTTATAACTCTATAAATTTATGTCATATATATACAATATAGATCGGAGTTCAATATTGATTTATTGACACAAAGCAAAATTGTGATTCCTAGAAGCATATCAAATTAATAGAACATCGACAAGACAACTTGTTTTCATCATCAGATAAATAAAATATCATCAGTTTCAATACGTTTCTTGACCTAAAGTAAATCTTATACCTTTCGAAAGATATTGAAAATGTAGGCGTATTCTTATTCTGGTATTTCAAAGCTAAATTCATAAAAAAATATCATATGAGCATGTGCTTTCGGATACAGCTATATCCTATAATAATTGCTAATAATTGCAAAAACATAAAAAGTATGAAAAATGGACATTTGAGTCTACATGCATAAAAGGGAAGAATTCTATCAAGGTTAAAATAAGAATTTTCTGCAATTAATTAACAGCAATGATAATGATAATTTTACTAACAATTTCTTTAATTTAAAATTTTTAAAAATAATTAGATACACAAAGTAATTTTTTTTGCAGAGATGATATCAATTATGAGAATGAGAAGTATTATGGAAATTGGGGTTGTGGGGTACCATATCGATCAAGAGCCAAATCAGGAAATTTTGTTCTATCTGGCAATATTCACTACACAATTTTACATATAACCTAGTACAATATTAAATCTATTTTATCCACTATTGTTTTTTTTATGACATGGACGTTGACCATGTCGTTTTCGGTTATTCGTTATTCATTGTCAATCATTAATAGTTTTTTTGCCTATTTGCGTTGCTACGTAATAAAATGATTTGCGCGTTTAATAATGAATATGATTGTTATCTTTTTTCTATTCATATTGCACACTTATACAGTGATAGGAAAGTTTTTCATTAAGTATCTAATAAATTTCCATGATATCACAACTGGACGGACTTAGGAGTACTCCTAAGTAGATTCAAGATCGTATTTTATATAAATTAATGGCAAATTAATTTAAATTAAACAATTAAATAATTATTACAGACTATTTGATTTCTACTCATAAAAACAAAATGATAATTAAAATATCATGTTTGAAATTATTTTATCATGATTGAAAGTTTATCTTAAATATAAAATTTATATTT